GAATTGAAGGATTAGATTTTTGATATGATGTAGGATGTATTCTCTATGGAATAGAATGTGTTCAATCTCTCTCACAGAAAATACGGCGCCTCAATATATAGGTTGGACGAAATACGTTGTATGGGCCAAGTAAAAATCTTGAAAATAGAAAATTAGTTTTCCTATAATACTATGTCGCTCGAGCGACAGTGGGGCAAAAGTCGAGCGAGGTAGTTTTTGTTTTAGTCGCTCGAGCATCACTCCGACAAGCAGCTAGCGAAAATTCGGCATGAATTCTTCTTGTTCCAAACATAAAACCCCAAACTCTAAGCTAATCTACTAACTATGAAACTTTACAATTTATAGCGAAAATCCGACGTAAATTCTTCTTGTTTCAAACACATAACCCCAAACCCTAATCCTAACCTACCAACTATGAAACTTTATAATTTAGTCCCTAAACTTATATAACTGTTCAAGTTGGTCAATTTGTTCACAGAATCGTCAATACAATATATAAACCTAACAATTATGAATTAAATTGTTGTGTTCTTCGTAAAATCGTAAGAGTGGATTAGCTTTGCTTTTATGTATTACTACTGGGTGAATGTGCATTGCACGTGTAGTGGCAGTGCAGTGTAAGTAATAATGTTCACATTTGGGTATGTGGTATTTCAATGAATAATGAAGCCTATTTGAAAGAAGGATGATTATATTGGTTTATGGATACTTACATTAGTTATAGTAATATAAAGCAAAAAACAAAAGATCTTATATGCCATACTTGGATACATGGTTTTAACAAGTCTATAGTTACAATAAACAAAATTTGGTATGGTAAATAGTGCTAGAGAGTTAGGCAATGGACTCTAGCTATAAGGATGCAAAAGAGATTCAAAATACATATTTTCAACTTGTGGACTACTACTCCTGCTTTTATTTTTTGGTTGGATGTTTGCCAGCATCTTGTGTAAAGGGTGTCTCGATGTTGAGTTGCTTGGTGTAGTGTTTGCATTTGGAGGTTGAGATGTCTGTGATGTGTTTTGTTGTATCATGTTGGTGGCCACTTGATGTTGAAGTTGAGAGTCAAGGATAAAGATGACTTTATATGGAGCTTTGTTGGTCGTCGCTTCTACATTCACACTTTTTATGTATAAGATATGCTCTTGATTAGTAGCTGTCTGAATTCTGGAGTTGTTCTCCATGGGTTCCTGTTGAAATGTTTATGAAAAGCAGTTAACAATACATTTAAGGGGGAAAATAAGGAGGTATGTAGAGAAAATTAATTTTTAGATTCATACCTGAGCAGTTTGTTTCATCAGTTCTTTTGCTGGGCATTTCAGGAATGTTTCGACTGGATTTCCAATAATTGATACTGTTATCGAGCCTGTGGAATCTTGTAATTCGACCGTTGCTCTTGCTCTATTAAAATAAAAGTGGAATTGTTGTTAGTGTTTTTATGATCATTAGATAATATGTAATGCATAGATTCATATAGATGATGTGATTGTGACATGATTATAATCATACATTGGAGTTGGTGTAGCGTAATTGGGCTTGCAAAATCTACAGAAATACGTTTCATTCACACTTGCACTTTCTAATTTATTACAATTGTCACATGATAGATACCATAGAGGTTGGTTTAATGGAACTAATGTGACATTTGCTTTTGTCCAGAATTGTTTTGCCTGCAATGTATAAAATAACACGTAAAAAAATGTGTTAAAGGTAGGCATGAAATGCTATGTAAGTGAGAATGTGTAGTAATT